TCGAATGGTAATGTTTTATTCCAGTTTTCCAAAAATCAAATGAGTTCTTCAGTGTAGTGGCTTGTGGCCATCAAATACAATCTAATTTTAAAATATTCTTATTTTATGCCCTATATTTACAAAAAAAACAAAACAATGAAAACTGAGGGATTGCATCAGCACACTACATTTCCTCCACAACTGTCAATTGCAACAGTTGAATCTAATATTTTTATATTAAAGATCAACTGATATGGCATTTTATGGCCAATAACAATACAGCTAATTAAATATTTAAAACCAATTTGAAAGTTTTATTTCTGCTTTTGATACAATCAGTACTTTTCATTATACTACAACAATATTTGCATTATAACTATGTAATTAAGCTACACATTTATTGATGGAGAATAAATTACTTCATTAAAAAAGTTCAATAATTATCCAAACAATACATTATTAAAAATGGTATTAAAGGGGTCATATGATGCGATTTCAATTTTTCCTTTCTCTTTGACAAATGCCTCGCTTGTAATGGGTTTTAATTAATGTTTTTGTCTCGTTGCTCCGGCCGGGACACGGCATCAACAGTATGTGAGGGGCGTAACATTTCTGTCTCACGCTTGAGGTATTCGGCCAATCACAACGCTTTGGATAGCTGGCCAATCAGAGCACACCTCGCTTTTCAGACGATGAGCTTTGTAAAAATCGACGCGTTTCAAAAAGGCGGGGCATAGAGGAGAAACAATAATGTACAGTATGTGGAAAATAATGTGTTTTTTTAACTTTAAACCGCATAAACACATTTCATTACACCAAATACACAAAATAATGTTCTTTTTAGCAGCATCATATGACCCCTTTAATTTATTTGTAAACCTAATATCGAGGAACCAATAACCAATTAGGCTGAAAAGGGTGAATATCGGAAAAACACTGGTCAAACTGATTGTCGGTCTTTCTCCAACTGTTAATTGTTTCAGTAAAAAATGTTTATGCACAAATATTTGAGTTTAACAAGACAATAAATGAATAACATTTTTTTTTTTTAAATGTGTCAAGTTTTTTTATTTTTATTTTTTTTTCAATTTATGGGACACTAAACTCATAATATTAAGAAAGACTTTCCATTATGCATAATGATTCATTAAAACTTCAGGAAGAAACATAAGAGCATCAAAATGTGAATGTGTATTACATTAATTAAACATTTAATCAGTCAAGGGTTTAGGGTTTTTGTAGCCAACCCATTTTAGACATGCAATGACTGTAATAAAAACTACACATTCGTTAATGGTTGACAAAAACAAGGCCAGTTCACGCAGAGGTGACAACAAAATCAGCCCATCCAAAAGTGCACATTCATCTCAGTCAGACTGCTTTTGCATTGTTCAGTGGGACACATGTTATTGGATGCGCTGTATGGCCAGCTGTTGACGAACACACACAGCTGATCGGCTGTGATGATGCTTGTTTACCAAGGGCCGCCGTTTCACCGATTCCTTAAGAAATAAAACCACAGGGTCGCCCTAACCTATAAATTACGTTAACAACATATTACATATTCCGAAGCCACAAATAAACAGACCTCTCATAGCGAGCAGGATGGCTGTCTGAGGGATGCCATTGTTGCAGAGTCCAGCTCCAAGGATACACAACCAATCTTGCGTCATGCAGCGCTGTATTTAACGCACAATTCATTCACACTTGCCTGTTCGCCGAGGTCGATGGCTATGTTGGTTATGGCCAGCGGCACCAGGAATCGGATGAGAGGCCAGTAGTGCGTGAGCGCCGGGAATTTCACCATGTTCGCCTGGAGGAGAGCGGCAGCACTGCCAACATCAGCTGCTCGGATCTGGAAGGATGCGAGGCCGGTCAAAGCCCGTCGAGTTCTAAATGTTTTCTAGCAGAAATCCGACGAGATCAGGTCCGTCCCTGCCCTCCTACACAACAACAGCATCATAAACAATGATCTGGTGCATGGGAAAATAGGAGGGTCAACAGAAATTTCTGCTGACGGCTTCTCCATTGTTCACTCATCAGTGGAGAGGAAAATAAATACATATAATCGGCCGCGGCGATTAAGAGCGGCAGAAGTATAAAGCCGTATGCATGGAGTCGCTGTGCCAGCCGCTATTCTGCTGTAGATGGCCACTCGGTTAACTGTACTTAAATCCTCATCCTTCCCTTAACAACACGTGGGGGACGGTCGGCGCATAAAAGCCACTCCTCTTCTAAACGTCATCTGGTGCGTGCAGAAAAACACAGAAACGAACGGCTGAACAACAGAGATGTCTAAAATAAAGTTCAGTCTCAGAGAAGAGCTTACCAGATAGGTCAGAGCACGGCACAGGGGGATGAAATGGCCGTCTTCGTCCTTATATCTTACCTGCATGTAGGCATACGTTCATCTGGCATGAAGTGTTAGCACAATAAATAAAATATCAAAATGAGACTTAAACGTTAAGACAAATTTTTAGTGACTCCCAGGAATCTCAGTGAAAATCGAACATCTCATTTCTCGGCCAGCAGGTGGGGCTGCCTAGCAGGCAAGTCTTATGAGACGCGCTACTGACTGACAGACTGTCAATTAAAGGGACCGTTCGCTCAAAAATGACAATCATACAGGTTTTTGCAAACTGTATGACTTCCTTTTTTTGACTAACATCTCTTTTTGTGCGCCATGTGTATTTAATGAATAGCTTTCAACCAGGGGGCCGTGGTCCATTAGGGGTCTCAGAAAACTTCCTAAGGGGCCACAGGATGGCTTTAAATTAATTAAATAATTAGGTGAATTAATTCAGGTTCATTCGAATTGCCTTTGAAATATAAGGCAATTTGAATCATTGATGACTGCAGAAGTGTCCCAATTAACATGAATTCACTCTTAAATTACCGGTATAAAAATGATAATTAACTAATTAAAAATTTGAGTTATAACTAACTCTACTTTAATCCTAAAAGAGGCTACGTATCCTGGGGGATACAAACATTTGAGAAGGGTTGAGAATTATTTCTTGGTTTGCTGTGAGTATTTAGATGAGGTGACTTTGTTTCTACATTCTTTGTTTAGCTCACAGGAAGCATTTAAAGGGGTCATATGATGCGATTTAATTTTTTCCTTTCTCTTTGGAGTGTTACAAGCTCTTGGTGCATAAAGAAGATCTGTAAAGTTGCAAAGACTAAAGTCTCAAATCCAAAGAGATATTCTTTATAAAAGTTGACTTGTCCACACCCTTCTAAAACGGCTCGTTCTAACACGCCCCCACATGTCTATGTCACTATCTGGGAAGGGTTTGCATAACGCCACCAAAATGTTCACGCAAAGAAAGGCGCAACTTTGATTCTCGCTGTAGTATTGTTGCTGCCGCCGCCATGTTGTGGAGATGCTGTGTGTTTCATTGTGAAAGCGAAACTACTTTGTTTGGCCTTCCAAAAGAGGATGATATCCGCTTCGTCATGCCTAGAGCTGACCCGTGCTGGTCACTTAGGAAATACATCAACTTCACGCTGTGGATCGGCTTCCACCGTGGACGAAGCGGAGTCCAGCCCGGGGTTGTCACATGTGGTTGCCGCAAGCCCGCCGGCCGCGCCGTTCTC